ACACACACCTTAACCCCAGGCCTGGGAGCAGAGCCAAGCCTTAAGGGACTTCTGGAACACTTGGAGAGGGGTTGATGATATAGTGATGATGACGATGATATGATAGGAGTAATAAGTGCCAATGTCCCTGTATCCTGCTTTGTTGCAACTATGTCTCTTTCTAAAATAGCTGCCTCTGGGATTCAAACTGCTCTCAGGCAGAGGACTGCTGTAGCAAAAGAAGGCTCGGCAGCTCAGCGATAACATGTTAAAGGGCCACTAATTAGACAGAAGGCCATCCATGATTAGCCAGACCAGATCAAGACTGTTTCAGACATTTTTACTGCAATGCAGCCTGCCAGATTGTTTTGCCTACCTTCTGTTTATCTCCCAATGATCCTCCTATGACTCTGTATCTCAGCACCCCTGCTTACTTGTCCCACATCTGCATTAGGCATACTCTTCAGCATATGAACTATGCTCAGCATTCAACTTCACTGTGGTGCAATTGTTAAAACTGATGCCAATCAGATCACTTCTTTGGATTTAACTTAAGGACACAATGTGACCCCAAACTGGCATCAGTCTTATCAAGTAATTGGATTCCTGACAGGTCCTTCCCTTTTTATTCTATTTATGCCACTCATCTATTCTACATCCCAGATTCAGCACTTCACTCCTGGATCCCTTTGAACTAACTGGGCTTTTACAATAAAGACTTCAATAGCTTTGTTTGCAGTAAATACTGTTGGTCTTGAAGAGAAAACTCCTACAGCTAGCCTTAATAAGACATGCCTCTGTGACCTCCTGAATTGAATGTTAGGGAAAAAACCCACTAAATTAATACATACAAAATAATGCAGTCAGTTTATCTTGTCACTGACAATCATGCAAGCTTTAACAGATTTTCTGTGACAATCACCCAGCAACACTGAACATGACACAAAGCAATCAAAACAGGCAAGAGAGCTAGAGAAAAGAACCAGCGTTTTAAAGGAACCCAATAGTTCATTTTGAGCCCTGCAAAAAAATACAACAACAACAAAAATTTAAAAATGGGAGTACAATATTTCTGCAGCAGAAGTATTATTTTGTGTGGCAGAAAATGCTTGTAACCTGCAGGGGGTGAAAAAAACAGAAAATGTATAACTGTTGTGTATATAGCTGTGTCTTTTTAATAGAAAACCACTAAGCAGGTCTGCAAGACTAATCAAACAACATTCTGTGGTCTTGCTTGAATGACAGCCAACAAAGGGCGATTGCCTGACGTACCCCTTTGCCTAGGTCCTCCTGGATCACTCGCTCGATCTCCTGCCTGCTGCTCTGAGGAGCTTGGCTGTGCAAAATCTTGAGGGTGCGGGTGTATTCCTCAGGCAAGAGATAATCAAGAGCCCCCAGATGCTGTCCTACTTTGATGAAGGTGCCTCGGTTGGCACAGCATAAATCTCGGAGACGTTCTGCAGAACGCAGATGCACCTGCAGAGAGAAAGGGAGGGAAAAAAAAAACTCTGAAACTTTGCTTGAAACCTTTTCTCCAAATTATATACTGTATCTTTCCATATATCCTCTCCTAAGGCTTTGAGATACAATTGTAATCAGGAGGCTTCCTGAATTGATCATTAGGACAGAAAGCACATTTCAGAAAAAAGCAGACATCTTTTCCCCCAAAAAGGGCCCTAGGTCGATGTCTCCGTTTGCAATGCCTGCGTTGCACCTGCATTACCCCCAGTCGTATCAGTAGGAACTGGCACCCACGGCATGTGCAGACTTTCAAATATTTGATGTTCAGGCGTGAGCATTTCCAGTCCCCTGACATATTACTTGAGGGGATTCAAAAATGTGCAGCAAAAAGAAGTGGACACAAGCCCCGCCCCTCCTAGCCTGATGCTTACAGCTGTTCAATTTCTGCTTGTATCCTCCATTTTACAAGCCTCTGTAAGCTTCCTTGATGTGGGCCGAGCCGTGGCATGCCAAAGGGCCGCGTAACCACCAGGAAATAAACCCCCCCCAACAAGCAGTACGCTTTCACCGTGAAGAAGCACAGCTGCACATCATATGACTCGGGAAGGACAGAAAAGGCCAGTTTTATATGACTCCTTGACTGGGCTGTTTATCCCTTTCTTCTCTCCGAGTAGCCGAGATGCCAAGGGGGAAGAAAAAAAAAAGAAACACAAAAAAATGGAATGGAAAAGGTGCAGATGGAGGTAGAAAATGGAAGGGATGAAGCCAGAGCAGCTGGGCAGTTTGTCACAGTACAAGGAGTTCAGCCCATTACAGGGAAACAGTTTTTATGCAGCTTGAATAATTGTCCTCGACACTGTCTCCAGCAGAGGAGAAGGGAGGGGGCGGAATCAGCATCCAGCCAGAGTAGGGGAGGTCTATCTATAGCTTTCCAGAGTTAACCTGTATTCCAGGGGAAAAGAAAGGCAAGATGGGTGCATTTGAGAAGGAAAGAGGCCATGTTAGCCCCAATTCTTCATATTCTTAATAGCTCATGTTGGAAAATGCAAAAATATATTCCCTGTAGCTCTACAAAATATGCAAGAAGGCGAGGCTGCTGGGAATATACGTGCACACACATACATTTAAACATGTTAATTCATCTCCTAAAAAGGCTGCCTCAAAACATTTTTGATAGCCGCTTACTAGGAAGCATCAAGAAAATCATAACCGGCATCACTGCAAAGATATAGCAAAGTACTATCAGATGATAACTCTGTCTAAGTAGATGATGAGCCAGTGTTCAGACATTTTGTATTTGTATTTTATATTTTGTATGTTTTTTAATAATTTGTATCCATCTTAATACTTTATATAACCTCTCCATCTTTTGAGAGAAGGCACGAGGTCACTTGCAGGTTGTCCACCCAGCTGAGTTGGTAGATTAGAATCATGATTTTTATGAGTGGCCGGGCTATTGCTTCCTGACGCCTACAAAGATTTCACAAAGACCTGACCATTTTGCTGATGACCAGCACTCCCGGTCTTGCCTTGTTTTCTGGGAGGAAACAATTGCCATATTGCCCTAGCATCCACATCTGAATGAGAGGCCCCACTTTGACAAGGTGCAAGCGCTGATTTGCCTCCTGTTTACCATAGACCTGACTGTTTTGCAAACAATGGGCATTACCATCGGGTCCTCTGTTGCCTTGTTTTGCTGATTTACTTTGCAGATCCTGATGGAAAACCTTACCTGTCTTATTTTGCACTATAAGAAGAAATACACTTGTTTTGTTCCACTACTTTGTATTGCTAATAAGAAACACTCCTAGCTGTGAAGCATTCCCAGAGGGCCAAATAAGGGATTTCCTGTGCCCGCCTAGACCGGGCAAGACTGATGAAGTGTACCAATGAGATTTTGCCATCTCCCTGTGTGCTAATGTATAAATAATGCTGTTGAAGACAAGCACTTGAGCTTGCTTTGCGAAACTATTCCCAAGCATCTTTCTTCTCTACAGAGTAAACTTTGGAAAGATCTCTATGTCTTGTGTGTTCTGATTGGGCGTGGGCACACCAGGCTACGAACCCAGCGTTCCTGGGACAACACAGAGACAAGAGAATATATGCATACTAGTCCCTTAAGTATCATAGGTTGAACAATAATGGTTAGCAATGCATACAGAGGTACTAGAGGCACACTGATTGCTTAAATGCTGAGACAGAAGGAGAAGCCACATAGTACGCATTAGAGATTATTCCAAAAGATAGTGTATGAAAATGCTTTTATCCCTACCTTCACTGCATTCGCAAGTGGTAGCTGTAAAGAGCAGAATGTTTGCACAATTACAGGTAATGCACCAATTGTGACCCCCCTCCCCTCCTGATCTTAGCAATTATTATTCACACCTCAGTTACATCCCATCTTGATTACTGCAATGCACTTCCCATGTGAATTTGGAAAATGCAGTTGATACAAAATGTGACACCTGGGCTGTTCAGAGTGCAAGGGACAGGGATCCTATGTTGCTTGTACTGAAAGATCTGCACTGGTTGCCATTTGCTTACTGGCCACAGTTCAAAGCATTGGCCCTACATGGCTTAGAGCCCAACTATCTGAGGGACTCTTCCCACTATAAAGCTGTCCAATTCCTCAGATCAGTAGAGATCTTTTTCAATACATTTCTCTCATAGATGGCCCACTACTAGATAGGCAGGAGAGGGCCTTCTCCCAGGCTATGGAATCTCTCCCCAAGAAAGTATTGTACACTTGCCCCTCTCTCTCCCAGTAATTAAGAAAATGTCAAAAACAAATATCTAGAGTCAAACTTTTAATTGCTCATTATTTTAGTGATGCTACTTGCGTTTTTAGTTTTAGTTATGTTGATTTAATGGCTATATTTTACATTTTGCATTTTTTTAAATTGTGTAAACATACATTATGGTTTGGGCCAAACAGAAGGATGGAGTATAAATTTAATAACAACAAAGAATAAATGGTGACTGGTAACAGAAGATTTCCTCAGACCAAATGAGATCATGATCTGAATCCCGTTTTCAACAGATTGAATAGACTTAAATGGAATACTTTACAATCACTTATTATAGGACTGTATAAACATCTATTTATTTATATAAGCATTTACATAATATCAAAGCAAGGAACAGAATAAACAACATGGACTGAAGTTCTTTACTTCCTTTCCCAAACACTTAATGAATAGATAATATTTAATACTAGAAACATCAAACATATTGAATTGTACCCAAACTTAGCCATAACAACATAGCCATAACAAAACAGCCATAACAACAAATTTAACAATATAGATTTCAGTAGGTTTACTCTGTATATTACTCAACTGAGATGTGATCTTAGTATTTTTAATAGTGACTGCATGGAAAAGAAATTAAAGGCTAATTAGAAGATATGACACTATTGTATTCAGCTAGACTTTTTACAAGTAAATGGTACCTAATGTTGGTCTAAAATCTAGCTGAGAGAGAGCTTTAACTGTCCCCCATGATGGTGCCCAAAAGCATTAGGACATCAAGCCTGCTATTTGCACTGCAATAGGCACAGAAACTTCCCAACAGATCTCTTAACTGTATCAGGTCCACATTTATTTTTTAAAAGGCATTTACATAATTCTTAATCAAATAAATGGCGTCTCGTCTAATTTAGTTTTAAATTTCAATCTAGACCACTTAGATTGGAAGTGTTACCCTCCAGTTATTGCTGAACTACAATTCCCAAACATTCCTGCAATGGTGATGATGCTGGAAATTTTAATTCACCAACATATGGAGCGGCACAGATTCCTCAACTCTGGTTTATATAATGATGTACCCATAAATTGGTAATAGAAGACATGTACTCAGGAATAAAGAAGCTGAAGAAATTCTCCTTGTTTAAAGAAAGGTAAAATAAGTGCATACAGTATATTTTAATTAAACCTAAAGAAATCAAACCTTGTATATAGATCAGTCACAATATTGCTTTCGATTGGTCTAAATGTTGACATATTAAAAATGGACTGAAAATTTAATGCCAGAATACTCAAGAGAAAATAGATGTAAATAAAGATGTAAATTTTTAATATATTATTGTATCCATTTGCTTCACTCTGTTTGTTTTAAATTTTGCTGGTCATTGACCAAGTAAGTATTATTGCTATTGCTATTTATTACAAATAATGAAATTTTAAAAACAATATACCCATTATACTAGAGTTAAGAAATGTAATATATAATATAAAATTAATTAAATGTCTATAATGGCAATATTTATATAGTTAAATACAGAAAAGCTCAGGCATAAATTATACCGTGTCAAGCAAACTCCTAAAACTCTTATTTGTAGTAATGGATTACTTAACATCTCTGTACTGACACACAAGGAATAATCTCAGGTGGGAAGTAAAATATGCCAAATACAGAGGGTAGTACAGTACAGTATTTCAGTTCTTGGCTGCAGTAAAGTATCTCTATGAAATGCCCAAATTCATAATTTGTTTCATTACAATCATCAGAAACAAATTATTTGTTGTCGCTTGTTTACACAGCTGGGCCTAAACATCCCAAACAAGCTCTTCCTTGAAATCTCATTCAAATTTTAATCATACCAATTTTCTTCTCAGAGTTCAGGTTCAACACATGCCAGATCAAATACACAAAATACAGCAAAGCAGTAGTGAGTGGATGCCCTTGCTGAAAATTATTATGAAGATTTTTTTCAAGGTTGCATAATTTTCCTTGGTATGACTTAGGTTACCTTCAGGAAAAAAAATCCTATAGCTCTTCAAATAATGAAGTAACCAGAACAAACTGTATAAAAATAAAAGAATGGAACTGTGCAATTAAGCCTATTATAACACTGGAAGAAACAAACATATTAAAGCAGCCAACTGTAGGAAGATATTGAAGAAAGAAAAATATCCAAGAATAATAGTTTTTAAAGACTACAGTTTACGTACAATTAAAATCAGGTAAAACTTCCATGAAATTGGCCAAAACATAGAAAATTTTGGTGTGGATGG